ATATGTATAAACGTTACAAATGATTATGATTATAATAATTGTGCTTGGGATACAGAATTTAGAAAATACATACATCGTCACCTGAAATGCAAAGAGATGTAACAATATCGTAAATGAAATGGAAAAAGTCGTTACTAATATTTTATTTTATTTATATAAAATTATGTGTGGAGTTGTAATTCGTTGAAATCCATCATATCAATCAAAAAGTGAGTTTTGAACTTTTTATTAGTTACAAAACCTACTTTGTATATATTTGTATTCTGCACTTCACAAATTCTTTTTCGAATCGAATATATTGAATATTTTGAGTCTCCATGGCCTTTGACCCCTTTGGGACACGCCTTAAACGACTCCAATCGGCACCAAAATCTATGTGTTATATGTGATATCTGTAACCATTATATTACCGATTGAGGCTGAAAAAATCGTTCATTTGCTTTTTTAAGGACACCCCTAATGTACATGTATGTGCTCCTCTTGTGCGTGTTTTGTTAAATTTTTGCTAAACAAATTTTCCAATTTCTCTTTTCTAGTTTTTTACTATGCATAAGGAATGTTAATCCCGGGATTCCGACCTTTTTAAGGTCTCCAAAATCCCGGGATTTTCGGGATTTGTAATTTGCACTGATGGCAATAATAGAAACTCCTTTTCTTGACCAGTATGGGCTATATTTCTTTTTTATTCAGTAATTAATATTTTTTTATAAATGTCTACATGCATATAAAACCGCGCGATAGTCAATTTTGAACACAAATCCAAAATAGTTGCGAAACCATGGTCCGCATATAGTAAAATTTCGTTTTTAGTTTTTCACTCTGACGTCAGTAATTCAAAAATGATTTAAAAAATTCAGAGAAATGTGCTTAGTGAAGGAGTATGGGTATCAAATGAAGATGGAAATCCAGTAGGATTTAAACAAATTCAAGTTTTTTTGTCCAGAAGGACTGGTAAGTATTGAAAATGTTCTTTTAAAAATTTTATCCTTGAAATTTCACAATATATGCTTTTGAAAAAATTATATGCTTAGGGCTTATATAAACTCGATGACATCCTCGAATTTCGTCCTTCTAACTTTATCAGCTTAAAAAATTACCTATTCGGCCTTGTGAATACAAAAAATTTTAATTTTTTAAATTCAAAATAAATTCCTCTTGAATTTGGTACCCATATTTTTATTCTAAATTGCATTGAATTTTTTAAATAATTTTTGGAATTAATAATATCTTTGAAATTACAAAGTTATTTAAAATAAATCCCGACGTCAGAGAAAAAAAATAAAATCACCACTTTAAATAAAAAAAAGTAGGTTTCCAACCGATTTATTTATTCTTTATTTTACGGTAGGAGAGCTTTCCAAACAATATACAGAGCAATTTTTTCGATTTAGGTTGTTGATTGTTGTTGTAATGAATCCCGGAACTGATCCCAGGTTCCCGTGATTGTCATAAAGACATCCCGAAAATCGCGGGATCGGAGAAAGCTGAAAAATCAACAACCCTAGTATGTATACCATATGTACATATTTATGTTACTGTCTCTTCAAATATTGACGACATAACTGGTAACAGCACGTTGCGACATCACTAAGCTTCTAACGAAACGTTGACGTTGTGGCACAACGTCGCCGACTCGGAGTTGCATAAAAGAGCAATTTGAAGGCAACGGCGATGACAACAAAATATGTATGTATGGATGTGTGTAAGCAACCTGCAATCCAGACGAAGTATGTTGATGCTACGTGCGCGGATTGGCAGCAGCAACAACAACGGAAGGTGAACGGCTCCGAGAACGAAACCGTTGCAGGCATTGACTTGGTTACTGTTGTTGACAACTTATATATGTATGTATGTACATGCACATTTGTTGCAGTTGCCGCTACGATTATGATTTAATTTTTCCATAGTTGATTTTATCGGCTTGTCGCTATGTATGTACATAAATGCACACATACATTTATTATGTACATACATACATATGTACTACGTCGTACTTAAGTTCATTTCGTAATGTCAATGCGGCTGTGGCAAGTTGTTGCCATTCTTGCTGTCGACAGCCATTCTTGTTTGCTGCAGCGAATTGAATGCATTGCGCACGTTTTGGCGCTATCATTTTTGCCGGATGTGGCTGTTGCTGTTTGTCCTTTTTGGCTGCTATTGCATATCTACTCTCTATAAGCCAAGGTGAATCTTATGCAAACACCCATACTCGAATACATATAGATACACACATACATAGCTTGTGGTGGCATGCCACTTCAACTTTCCTCACTCGTGGCCCGATGCACCAAAACAGGAAATGTGCCAACTATTAGTGGCATTTATTTATTCATTAAGTGCAGTTAGACACCAGGAGAAGCACTAATTGCTGCACTTATGTGTGCAAACACAGAGAATGTATGCGAGCGTGCGCTTCAACATATACATACAACGAATACTCACATCTTGGCATGCCACGGATTGGAGGAACGCTGCTCACGTAATAGTGACGCCTTCCCACCATCAGACTCTTGCTCGCTGTGCTTGCAGCCAATTGTGATTGGCATCCCCTTAGGGGGAGTGCTAGCGAATTAAAGCCTAAATTAACTCGTTCTTAGATTAAGAGCAACATTATGCACTTGCGTGGCATTGCGTAATACAGAATATCTACGTGCAGTTGTTGTTGGCATATTGGCCATCACACACACACACATTTCATTGGTAAGCCTTCTTTCTATAATTTTCATTTTTACACAGGTGTTGAAATTTAATTTAAGCAAGGTGAGAATTGAGTATTTTAGATCGTGTTAGTTGGAAGAAAGAAATATGATCGCTTGGCGTGTATTACCTCGTATCCGCTTAATGCAATACCAACTACATACATACATATGTATGTATAAGTTAGTTCGAAAATTTCACCAAATGATTTTCCAAATGAACTTACAGATAGAGGAGGTATTACGCACCAAGCGACGATATGTTAATGTTTTTAACTTTCTAATAGCCTTTTAGTGTCTTAAACGCTTAAACGACCTCACGACAGCCCTTTCTGCGCACGAAAATGACTCAGGTTTTACCAACCAACCAAGCGCACTTGTTTCGGCGATATAACCAGAGCAAGTTTCGCTGATCTAAAATGCTGACGGTTGCATGATATTGGAGTTCGGCAATGACATTAAGGCCTGCGCTCTCGAGAGGAAAAGGCTATGTCTCCGATATATGTATATTCTTCGTCGCGAGGATCCTAAACCTCCACTCCTCACCATTGTGAATGACCTAAAAATCCTAGGGGTTACTTTTAACGCCCTGCGTTCTTTCCCAGCGCAATTGGCGATCAAATGCCGAAGCAACACTCCAAAAAACAAAACATGAAAAAAATGTTATGTTATCAGCGGTCGCCCTTCGGCAGGCAGTGGCAAACCTTCGAGTGTAGATCTGTATTGAAAAAGCTTCTCGTAAATTTACTTCTGCCATTAGGAGGCGGCGTTCAACTGTAGTTCTCTCCGTTTGTGTTATAACATTAAGGTGCACACCACAAATTGGAGGAGAAATTCGTTTTTTTTTTTTTTTTGTGTCGTGATGTAGTATGTAATTATTTGATTTGCTGAAGCTACCGAGATGATTTCTTTTTTACCGACTTCAAAAAAAGAAGGCGGTTATCAATTCGACGGAATATTTTTTTCGTGTATGTTACCGCATAACTTTGGACTACGTTAACCAATTTCTATAATTATTTTTTAAAGGTAGGTTGGTGCCTCAAAGGTGTCCCATACTAATTTGGTTTACATCCAATCATTGTATTATGATGAAATTAACAGTACTCACAAATTTTTATATGCGAATTGAAGTCGGTTTTGTTTTTTGCTTAAAAATTACTTGTTAGTGTAGGTTTTAAAATTTTCAAATATTACTCCCTTTTAAATCAACAAGCAAACTTTCTGAATTCCCCGCAATAAATCTTAAATTGTCGAGCAAAACTAAATTGGCTAAAAATAAATCAATATATACATAAATGGATTAAATATTAATTAAAAAAAAAGCAAAAAGTCATACAAACAATAGAAATTGAATAATTTAATGACATTTGCTTTTGTAATGCACTATGCACTTTTGTGATCTCGCCGCTTTTGTTATCTACTAAAAAAATGTCAAATGCATTTCACGTTTGTTTTTTTTTAGCTCATTTAAATTTAAATCTGAGTGTTTATGTGGAAGCCAAAAACATTGTTCGCTTGCCATTTGTATAATTTTAAATAAATGTAAATTAATACTTTGATGTTATACTTATTTAGAATTTTCAAGCTGAAATTTAAATTATCGTTTTTAATTTTACAATACAAAAGCAAGCATATAATCAAACTGATTTATAGCACTATGACTGTGGGTGTGGATATGTGTTATATTAATGATATTTTTTCACACTCAGAATGAAGTCATCGTGTTTATAAGCATAAGTATAAGTGTGCACACATACATACATGCATATTATGAATAAAAAAATTTCTACATACATACATACTTATTTTTGAAGATCTGATAAACTGCCAAAACTCATTAAGTGGCTCTCACAACTTGGAAAAGTTTTGAAGTGGGTCTGAAAAAAATTGTCTTAACTCTAGATCTGAGAGTTAGGCTTTTGAATTGTACATGCATGGTATGTTTGTATGTAGGTACATATTGCACATTAAACAAATAATGAAGTCGCCCTAACGCAAAACGTGTATTTTAATTTTGCAGTGACAATTACCTACTAAAAATACATGTGTAGATTTGAATTTAAGATAACACCAATTTTGTGAATATTTTTTCTGATCATGCTCGTATGTGAAACGCATATTGTTGAGCGTTGATAAAATTCGTTGTTAATTTAGATTTTTCAACCCAATTTTAATTAATTTTTGTCGAAAAAATATTTATTTTTCATATATCCAGCGAATTGAACAAAGTTCAAAAAAAAACAATGCAAATAAAAAAAATGAGATATACATATATGTACATAGAAATGCATAAATTTTACTCACCATTTGATAGTTTTTCTATATCCCGCTGATTTATGGCACCATTAGTGTTTTAGTGGTAGGCTTGAAACAGTTGTTATTCCACTATTACACCAATGTTTTTATGAACTTTTAATAAAGTAGAAAAATGTCAAACAACCATTGGTTATTTATTTTCTAGTGCTACCAATTAATGAAGCACTTATTTTGTTTCTTTTAAGCCCATAAATTTGTGATTTTTTTTTTTTTTTTAATTGAAGTTACTCTTTAGCGTGAATTTAATTTTTTTTGCTGTTTGAATTGTAGTGCATCGGAAATTATGTTTTAATTTGAACACATATGCATACAGTTTTTTCAGTTTTTCATTCAATTTTGTTTGAAAACTTTATTTTGGCTTTGTCGTGGAAATTAATTTCTTTCAATTTTTTAGTTTTTCAATGCATTACTAATTCACCCATGACGAGTTAATACCTGCGCCTGAAACATGAAAGATACCTAAATTATAATAATGTTGCTTGATAGCTTCTTTTATTACATATTATAATTATCTGGTACCGAATATAACCGTTAAATATCAAAATTTTTATTTTTAGATCATTGCAGGATCGGTTTTTTTTTAGTTTTATTTTTCCAGTCCAATTTAATAGTTATTTTATGATTCTTTTTTTAATCAATTTAACCGTTATAATGGAGACAACGCTTTTATGACCGACTAAATCTTTTACTATTTACAAAATTAAATCTGAAAGTATCAGTTACAATATGATCGAAAAAATATAAGTCCGAAAATAGCGATAATTCTTGATCGAAAAATAGGAATCATAAAATAACGGCTAAATTTTAAAGGAAAAATTTAAATCCAATTTTAACGGTTAAATTATGGTTTTATACCCAAGGACACTTCTGAACTAGGATATCAATTACAATTCATTTGTAACAGCCAAAAGGCATCGAAATAGATATAGACGTAGATATAAATATATATAAATGACAACGAATGTTGAAATATCTGAACGAAATTTGGTATGTATTAAGGTTGAATTTTATCCAGATCAGGTTGGTATTGAAAATGCATAAAATCGGACAGTACTCACGCCTGGCTTTCATATAACGGTATTTTTGAAAAATGCTAAAACTACCATATTTCCGTAAATACCCGATCAAAATTTTTGAATGTTTTTGTGTGTGTATGCATATAAATTTTGTTGTTGTTTTATGTGGATGAAAATGCTTAACACCCTCGGAAAACAAAATTGAAAAAATAAACATTAAATTTTAACGACCTGAAATTTTCATTTATTATACAAAAATTAATGGGCTATAAAATTGAGTTCTCGAAAATTTTCTAAAAATTCCATTTATATTTTCTGTAGTTATCTAAACCAGTTTAAAATTTTGTTGTTAGTTTTGGAAGTTTTACTAATTTTTGGGAACTTTGTGCAAGCTTTGAAACGTTAACTTATTTGGTTTCTTAGATAGGTCGAACAATATATTAAATTAAACTATTAAAAAAAATTAACATAAGTTGCAAACAATTTTTTGAATTTTGATGATATTATTTTGATCTCAACTTGGTGAATATATGTAATTAAAGTTTTTTTTTTGTGAAGAACGACGGCAACCGGTCGAGCCCTTAGAGGTGTGCATTATCACCAATTAAAAGCAAGGTTCGACTCTTGTTTTTTCTAATGGAGTTCTTTCTGGTGTTTTATATCATCTGACCTTTTTCAAATAATTTTTGGACTCGAAAAATTTTAGGGTTTTAACTTTAAACCTAACAAATTTGTATGCGTTTTATAGTTTTTTTTATTTTTTTTGTAGTTTAAATAACTCTCAAATCAAATGATAGAATACATATCGTCACTAGTTACGAATAAACGAGGTGAGTTCAAAAGTTGACCGCGAAAAAAGACGCGTGAAAATTTTAGGCAAAGCGAGACGCGTTAACCTATTGACGGCAACTTAAAATTATTTTCGCGGGCAACCATGTGTCCGGGTGTAATAGTATAAAAATTTCCCAAAGTGGTTTTGGGGAATGATCAATTCCCAAAAAGGAATTACTTCTTGTACCGCAATAAAAAAATAATAATAAATATAACTGAAAGTCCTCTCAACTAGTGCAGTGTCAAGCGAAAATAATTAAAAAAAATTTATTAAGTCTCGCACGTAGATATTTATCGCCTTGAAGAGCAGGCTTGATTTTGGACCCTTTAAAAACAGTCAACAGCATTACTCTTTATTAAGTATAAGGTTCCAATTTTTAAATTCGAGTACTAAATAAAATAAACGTTATTAAAACATATTAAATTACTGACATTCATCTTTTGATTTGTGTACCTAAATCACCTAACTAGGTGCCCAAATTATTTCTTAGCTTTTTCACATTCGCAACATCCCTAGTATCAATAAATGTTTACGCGTATTTCTTCGCCGAGATTGTTTCACACGTCCTTTTTTCTAGTGACGATGCCTATATGATTTGCATCAATAGCCTTTGTAAACGTACAGAAAATTTTTGCGTAGCTTTTCAAGAGTTTTCGGATATTTTTTCATACAGAATTTCAACGAATTCATAACTGTCAATACGTAAGTATTGGCTTTAATACCCAAACTTTTAATTTTGTATGCACAAAAGAGTTTTTATTTACACTAAATTCTCATCCCAGAAGATATTTTAGGTAGGCCTTCTTAAGTAAAGCCATTCTGAGAGGCCTAGCCAAGAAGGGCTGAAAAAAGTGCTTCCTTGCATGCCTTCTAGAAGGGCTCCTCCGCTTACAATTTACGCGAATGCATAACTTTATATTATTTGGCATTACAAATTTGCAAGTTGCAGTAACGCATATTTGATATAAACCTTAGGCAAATGCTACAAAGATGTATAATTTTTATAAATTAAAGAAGCAACTTTAAAAGGACTCCACCAAAAGGCCTTCTGAAGTACGTCCTATAAAAACCCTTGTGGAAGGCCTTCCATGGTTAGCGAAAAAAGAAGCCCTTCAATTTGTGCCACTGCATACAAAAAAGAAAGGAGAAAGGAATGTAGAATGGAATGCCCGCCCTTGCCAGAAAGGCCTTTCGGAAGGGCTTTCAATTCCTGAAATTATCTACTGGGATTGTCTGGGTTATCTCGTGATTGTATGAGTCTCATTACCTAACAGTATCCAATGCTTATTATAATTATTTAAGAATTCTAAAAGGTTAGCCATAAAAATCACCGGCACTTGCAACACAACAACTTTGCTTTCAAAGCTGCTCGCCATCAGCTATGGTTTTATTACAATAAGCAGCGATGCGTTTCAAATTCGTTTTTTTTTTTTGTCAGCTCATTTCAAAAGGCCAATTCAATGGCAAACAAATCCGTGTGAATGAAGTGACGCAACAGAAAAACACTTGAAACCGCTGAAGCTACAACATTTCAATACCTACAAGTATCGCCAATGTAAACGACACCAGCATGCAAACATTTAGAAATATAAAATTCAGTTTGTTTTATTTTCAAATCACAAATGCATATTTATGCATTTTTATTGTATGTATATTCCTTTGGAATTGTTTTGACTTGCTCACTTTCATATAGATAAATACATACACATGTGTACGCACGTATTATTAAACATTGTATTGAATTACCATTAAATGCCACAAAACACTTTGCAACAAAATCTCGAATTTTACCGGCACAAAGTAAGAGTATTTATGTGAGTACACATGCACCTAATTTATACATAGTTACATATGTATGTATGTAAGTCATATTTTACTTCACAAGCGAACACAAAACGCCTACTCAACGCTAAACAAACTCGGCAACCACAGCGCACGTAATGAAGCGTACACAATGTCAGCGACACGCAATTGCAACTGTATCTGACAGACGTCAATCAATCACTGTGCGGCACGCAGCTAAGCACCCGTTCACTAACGCACCGAACGCACTTGCACCGGCAACTACAACCGGTCGCCGGTATTTGCACTGTTGCTGCTTCTGCTTCACCGCCAAATTTGCACTAAAACCGCGCTGCACTTGAATGAACCCCAAACGTCACTTGTCGTCGTACGTAATCGGACTCCAACTAGTATTTGCATGCACTGACTTTAGCGAACGCCAACCACAACCGGCATGTGGAGTCTATCCACCGTTCTAGGCTTTCTGCTGCTTGGCTGCGAGCCAAAAAAAAACCGTCTGTCTATTTACCGCCAACGAACCGTCGCGCGCGAGATACAAACTGCAACTGAATTTGGACAATTCAAGTTAAACCATAGCCCCCAAACAAGCAGCAGCAGCCGCAAAAGCAGCAGAGGCTACACGAAACAGCAGTGGAGCTGTGGAACGAGTTGGCGCTCAAGCGTCGAACAACTGTTCTCTCCACTTGAATGTTTTGAATGTTGCTGCGCGTAGTTGGAGAGTTGGATACTTATGTACGTATGTGGCTGTTGAGTAGTGGATCGTAAATTAACGGTTTTGTTTAGGAACATTTGTAAATGTTGATAGCCACTTCTTGTACATATCAAAAGTTGATCACGAAAAAAGACGCGTAAAAAAACTTCTGCGAAGAAAGTTTACGGCGAAGAAAGGCGCGTAAACTTATTTTCGCGGTCAACAATGTTTGCGGGTGTAATAGTATATAATATCCCCAAAGAGGTTTTGGGGAATGATGATGAAGTGACCGTTCTTGGCCAGGTATAAATAAATCTATTCTTACGCGTCTTTCTTCGCCGTCAACTAGGTTTACGCGTCTTTCTCCGCCGACGTTTTTATTAAGCGTCTTTTTTCGCCGTCAAAACACTCGCGCGTCTTCATTCGTGTCTAGTGACGATATGTATTTGGATTCGTTACACTTTAGAAAAAAAAAAATTAGAAAAAAATACCAAAAATATTTTAGGGGGACGTGTTGGTTACCTTATAGAGCGCCATAGGTTAGCTGTACAATGTTTTGAAAAATTCCAGGTATGTAAAAAATGTATAAGCAGAGGATCCATTTCGGATCTTTTAAAGCGAAGAATGTCCAGATTTTCAAGGCCTTCGGATTCAGCTTTACTTGAAAATTTACATGACATTATAAAGACAGAGTACAAAATTAATGAAAATGACTTAAACAAAGAAAAGTCAAGCCTCACAATCGATGAGATCGGGTTAAATTCATTAAGAGTGCGGGCAATTGGAGCATTTCGCCCAATATTTATTTTATTATTATTTCAAAAGTGTGCGAATGTCGAAGTTCTCTTCCTGGCAGCACAATCAATATCATACCTGTAGTATACATGAAAGTTCAAGAAAGTACTGACCTTCTACTTTCTAGAGGTTTAAGATTTGAAAGAAATAAACAAGCATTATATGATGAATGAGGATGAGTGAATCATAAAGACTGCTAAGCAGCAGTGATAACCTTTTAGCATAAAATAAAGGAAATATAAACTTTTCAAAGCTGAGGTAATTTTTTCTTCTTAAGGAAGGAAGGGGTATTTGGCCCCATTGTCGGAAAATTCAGCCTCCACAATAAAACGTCCGGTAAGGGTGATCGACTTCGCCGGGGCCCGAAACATGGTAGTATTCAGTACATGGGTTCAAGGGTAAAAAGATACATCAAGCTATTTAGCACGCTTCCAGTGTTTCAGACGTCCGTACACTCCAAGGCGAGCATGTGGGACCGTTAAAGATACGGTGACAACATTTCTGTGGCCGAAAATCGGGACATTTCCAAAGCATCGAATCCGAACATACAATTTTGTTTTTAGAATAAAAATATTAATACAGTTTTATTTAAAACGGAGAGAAATATTTATTATTTTTAATGAAAATATAGCTTAATGTCTAAAAAAACATGTAAATCAATATTAAAAAATTTGTAGAACATTTATAAAATTCGACGAAACATTTTAATCAGATTTTCTAATGTTGTTTTGAGTATGCAGTGTACGAAAAATTGTCTTGGACCAGGGTACAGGTAGAGTCTTAATAAATGAATAAAGAAAATACTAATAATCGGGACTTAATCGGTACAAATATGAAAAATCGAGACACTTGCACGTTCCGACTTTCAAAAAATATTCAGCAAGAAAATTTTCTCAAAATCGGTACGGTCCGGCAAAATCGGTACGAATGGTCACCGTAGTTATAGGGAACTGAAGAGAGAAGCGGGACGTATTTTTTGCAATAAGAAGTGAGAGGCCGAAATACATATGTAAGTGCGAAGAGCTTGAAATGCTGGACGGCAAGAAAAACGCTCGAAAATTTTATCAAAGAGTTACGCGACGTACGGAAGTTTTTAAGACCAGGGCGAATTCCTGTGAGAAGAACGATGGCGACCTAGTGACCGATGTCCATAACGTACTTAGATGGAGTGAAAAGGACGAACTCAAGCCCCCAGTCGAAAATGACGGAGTCGATGTCCCACCACCTAACTTTGAAAAGTTACGAATAGCAATTACTCGGCTGAAAAACAACAAAACTAACCGCTTATCCAACGAATGGAATTTAAGTGGGCTCTGCCCAATCCACAAGAAAGGCGTCGCGCCATTACCGCCAACTACCGCGGGATCAGCCTTATAACCCTAGATTACATGGTGTTATCGCATGTATTGTGTGAAAGACTGAAGCCCACCATCAATGAACTGATTGGGCCTTATACATAAGTGTGGCTTTAGACCTGGCAAATCCACCACAGACCAGGTATTCACAATACGCCAAATCGTGGAAAAGACCCTCGAGTTTGTACTTCTAAAGATATATCTCCAGAAAATACCGAAAATTCGCTTCACACAATAATAATAATAATAATAATAGATGGGCGCTTACACATATGTTAGTGTTTGGCCGAGCTTCTCCTCCAATTTGTAGCGTGAGTCTTGATGTTGTCACACAAAGCGGAGGGACCTACAGTTTTACGCCGACTCCGAACGGCGATTGTATTTTTATGAGAAGGTGTTTTTCATGGCAGAAATACACTCGGAGGTTTGCCATTGCCTGCTGTTAAGAAAAAATCGTTTTTCTATATTTTTGCGATGTTGCTTTGACCAGGGTTTGAACCCAGGTGCTGCGGAGTTGAAGCGCTGCTGTTATTTAGCCCGACTTAAAATATAGGATACATTTAATCTCGATTAGGCAAGAGGGCGTGGCACCTCCCATACTCGTACAAACGGAACTTTTCATACTGCATTTCTCAGGAAATATTTTTGGTAGATTACTGGAACTTGGTATGGAGATATAAAAAATCACTCTCTACTCATGGATGAGGGCTGCTACCTTTAAAAAAAACCTAATTAAACTTTAATTGAGGGAGCTATTTATTTGAAAATTATATTAAAAAAGTGGATGTCAAGAGGCTTAAAAAAGCTGCAGTTTAATATATTTTTAAAAGGGTTGCCACCTGTTTGAAAAGTAAAATTTAAATTAACTATACGTAAGCCATCTGAAGAATTAGAAGATGGTTGTAAAACAAAATAATTTTTTTTATTGAAACTTTTTGGTTCAACATTTTCACCAACAAGTCACGTTTACGATTTCTATTGGCTCGCTCATCGGCTAAGTTATGGTTTGGGGGTCGTTTTCTGCTTTAATTAACCAAACAAAAGCGTTATGCCCGTGATGAAGTTCTTGAAATTCTCTAATTGTGTAACATTTCATAGAACGGTTAATCTCATAACGAAATATACTTGAAGAACATTTCCTCTTCACGAAAGAAATTTAATTGAAAATCATTTTTTTTTTACTTGAACTTATTACAGTAAAAGGCGCGCGATGATTTCGGCGGTTGATTTATCGGTGGTGATTTGAGATTTACCCCTGCACAACTTAACCCTGGTGTCTCCGAATGAAGCTTTTAGGCATAACAATACTGGAAAAAATCACATACACTGGGCCAATCGTAACACATAAAAATTCGATTAACTCAATGGTGCAACAGGTTTATTTATTCTGACAATCAACGCACCTCTTCTAACTTGGCGATTATTCGTAATGACTCCAGCGCCACTTGGCAGCTCTTTTTTGCAATAGTATTGCCTTTACCGTTACCGATACATATTTTGAATATTGGCCAAAGTGGTGCCAACTGGCGGGTGAATTTGTGAATCTACACTACCTGGAGAGTTACTCAAAAACACAAAAAAAAATCTTCCTTAAAATCCGTCCAAGCATTAAGGAGGATTTACTCACAAACACACAGATGAATTATATATACGTTTGTGCGGCGCTGTGCCCTCTTTTTAAATAGACCGTTTTTTTCCCTGAGTATAAGTTTGATTTCATATATCTCCACACCAAGTTCCAGTACTCTACCATGAACATACCCAGAGATATTCGGTATACAAAATTCGGTTTTATGGGAGATTTCACGCCCCCTCTATATATCTAACATTTTTTAGCCTATAATAATCCTTGGGACGTCTGAATCCGATACTGAGCTGTTGCGCCTTCTGAACGTGCCCAATAATTTAAATGAATTATTACAATATGGGAATCAATCAAAATGATTTTAAAAGGCGATAATTTCAAAACTACATGTAAAGGGTTTCCATCTGTTTAAAATCTCAATTGAGTTGAAAAAGTATGACAAGTGAGAAGGTTAAGAAAGTTTTAGTGTGAAAATATTTTGAAGAGGGTTAAACAAATTTTAAACATCCTGTTTTTGAATTGAAATTTCTTGAAATAAATTTTACTCAATGTAGCACGAAAATATTTCATACACTCAGCGAAGCGGGTGAGGGCGATCTAGTAAATAAATAAACCCTTTAAAGTTTCAAAAGTTCACTTTATAAACATAAAATTCACGAAAAACTCAAACATTTTTAACGGACTTAAAAAAGGCGGGAGATTATCAATTCGTCGGAATATATTTTCCTTTTTTTTGTTGCTACCGCATAACTTTGGACCACGTGAACCGATTTCCATAATTCTCGTATTTTTTTTTTATTGAAAGGATGATAACTCAACAGTCGTCAAGTAATTTGGTTTAGATTCGATTAATGGATCATGAAGGAATTAACGGTACTCCTAATTTTGTGTATGAGAATTAAAGTCGCTTGTATTTTTTGCTTAAAAATTGTTTGTTTAAAAAAAAGTTCTATAAATACAAGATGCACTCAACTTTCGAAAGTAATAAAAAAAATTTAAAAAATTATTTTAATAAAAATAGATTAATTAACTCCATGAAATTTTTGCGCCTTTATATTAATTTTCCTCGATTTTTGGTTTTCGATAGAGATGGTGATTTTTCACGTTTGCCTCATTTCTAGATATTTCGAATATCGAAAATATTAACTGAACGAACTCCAAATTGGCAAATTAAATCTTCGAATCCTTGTTAAGTATACATATATCAATGGTAAACCCTTTCAAGCTGTAGAGCAGGGATTTTTCGACTCTTTCCAACCAAAAGGTACATTCGGTACACCGAGCTCAATTTAGGTACAATTAGAAAATAGCCAAATAAGTATACATATTAAAGACCATGAGTTGCCCGCAAAAAAATTTAATAACATTTTTGTAAACAAGAAGAAATGTACATAAATTTTAACATGTCATTGCGGCAACAAGAAATCTAAACAAAGTAGCCACGTTCCTTTATTAAATTATTTAGCTTGCAACGTTGGATAAATTAGTCAAATTTTGAGTAAAATCGTATAGAATTCTTGAAATACAATATTTTTTTATCGGAAAACGTTGCTTCGGATTGTTTATTTTACCATTTTGAAATACAAGCGATATTTATGGATCCCCCATTGCATTTTTTGAGAAGTTTTAAGGGACCTGTAAGAAATATTTAACAATAAAAATGGTTAAATAAACAATTGGGTAATATTATTGAAAATCTTCATAAGAGAAACAAAGTTTTCCGATCGAGAAATATTTATTTTCAAGAATTCGATGCCATTTATACGAAAACTTGTTTCTTCGCCATATAAAATACATGGAAAACTTTGAGTGCTTTGAGCGACCCCTAAAAATTTTTGATTTCCAAAAAAACCTACTTTAGCATTAAAATTCCGACTTTTTGAGTTATTTCTGGCAAATTTTATTATTAAGGCTAGTATACAACGAAAAAGAGAGTAAAGTTATTGAGCACAAGGTTTGTTGAGTTTATTTTTGGTTAATTTACTATTAATCTCCAGTTTATTTACATTAGTGTGTGCTGACTATGGTTGCCGTATGTCATTTTTCGTTTGTACCATAATTGCCCTTTAAATATACCAAAATAGATAAAAATGCAGCAAGCTGTTGAAATTAGAATTTTATAATTTTAAATGTACATTTGTAGCGTTCACATAAATGTTCATTTGTAGATATCTACTAATTTTTTTCATGAAGGATGGGTGTTTGGAGGATATTCCCTTATTTTTGAATGTGCCATGATGTGGTATCACAAATAATTTTGAGAAAAATATTTCATTCATTCCGATATAATTTATTTGTATTTTAAAAAGGTTTTTCGATTGCAAAAGTATGCAATTGTCTAAAATGCAAAATCGGGGAAAATGTACCAAACAGAAATTAAATTGCCAAATGACCCACCAGTGGCAACTGTGGAAGTGATCAGCTGTTTTGAAGGCCGCTAGTTTTTGTTAAATTTTGCGTTCTCGCACTTCTGTGAATATAATGTCTCTTTGAGAGCGAATGCTGCTAAATTCTAAGTATTTTTTCTGCTGGATAATTTTGTCCTCTCACACAACTTTTGTTTCATTTCTGTAAAGCTCCTAACGAAAATTCTAATTGCTCTTAATTTAACTTCCATTTTTGTTTCAGATTTAAAGTTTTGGCGTCCTTAAACTAAAAAAAGAAGCACCAAAAAAACGCACCAAGCACCAAACACGAAAATTTTCGCGCTTCGAATTAAGAAAAGCACAAAATTTAGTGCGAAAAGCACAGTGCCCGCTGGTGGTAGCAAAGGAACACGGAGGCCTCCACTGCGATGGAAAGACCAAGTGGAGAAGGACTTGACTTCACTTTGAGTCAGTCAGATGATGATAAGAGAAACGACTGGCGTACTTTGCTGAACTCGGCCTAAATCGCTTATGCGATTACAGCGCCAGATAAGAAGAAGATACATTCACTCTTGTGCCAATTTCAGTAGCTTCAGAAACCATGCATGTATTCTATGTGTTTTGAGCCCTCTTTAAACTTATTTTTTTTTCTAAAATAATAACTTAACAATGTCCTTTTTGTTAACTTTACTGTTTATTTCTCACAACAATAGTACTATAAATATCTGTATATTACATATAAGTATGTATGTATAGCAATGCAACGTATTTTCGATTCACTTATCCAGTTTGTCGCCAACTTTGCTCTCTTTTATAAATGTATAAAGCGAAAAAGCAAATTTCCCAATCTGAAATTGAAAAAATTCCATTCTATAGGTGAGTATAGTAAAACTATTAATATTAGTTAATCCTAGTGACACTTTATTTAGGCTTACCGCCATGCCTGTCGCCAAATTGACACCAAATAGCTTCAAGCACCAAAATCGTATTGGATTTTGAGTACGTTGTATAAAAAATAAAATGGTTTTCCTATATCGCCTATTTTGATCCATCCAATTCGAGTGAAAAATCGCATTGGGCAGCTGGTCACAATCGTCAATTAGATGAGAGGCACAATAGCAACAGGGCAGGATTTGCACTAACTGACAACTGAAGAATGCAAAAGAGATAATATTTTCGGGAAATTCAACATTACCAAACCAATTTAGCACTGTAATGGCGGTGGTTGCAAATTGTGTGAAGAGGGTGATTGAAATAACTGGAGCAACAATGCGAGCCAATCTAAACAAAGAAAACAAAGAACTACATATGTTAAAATCCATTTGCTTATTGATTTTCTCTGACGTTTTACCTCAAAATCTGGCAATGCGTGCGAATGCAAGCCAAAAGTTCTGCATAATTTTCATCTGCATTCAGCTTGCGATCACCACCTAAACGCTTTGCACGCTCCACCAACAATTGCATGTGAGTACGTATAATCGAGATATATACTGGAGGATAGGTGTCACTGCCCAGCTGATGTGCCAACAAAATGAACATGACGAATATATCCCAAACCACAATCGTCCAATACTCCCATTCTGCACCAGCCTGCGCATCGAGATATGGTACCCAAGCTGCAAGTGGCACGCGATGTTGCAACACACCGAAGGCTATAGTCGTAATCTCAAAACTGTAGTAGGGCACACAAAATATGACGATAATTTTACAACAGCGCTGTACGCATTGACGTATTCTAAGCAAATCATCGGCGCGCCTATAGTTGGCATCCAGCTCGTCCAAAATTTCACGCGCGCTCAGCAAACTCTTCATGTGCCAAGTAATGGCAATGATTTTTACAGGAATTCCTGTCACTTGAACGGCATTTTGTATGGCGGCAAGCAATTCAGTTGTACTTAGTACATTCCAATATTTTATATAGCCGATGTGAAATGAGAGTGGAGAGAAGAAGCAGCAAATGAAATTCACTGTAACCGAGTATAAATAATAAAGGTAATAATATTTGTTTGATCGTTGCCCCTGCGGATTGGTCCCGACCAAAGTGAAAATATTAAAGATGTAAGTGAGTGCGTCGCGCGATTTGCAAGCGTCAAGACCGCGGCCACGCAACAAGTCCAGCATGATGGGTGGAATTAGTAGCTTTTTCTTGAAGATTTTTCGAAATGCACCGACATTGAACTTTACACGAAAACTGATGCAAATTCGCAATAACTTGTCGCTTTTATATATATATAAGTGGGTTGTGAACAGGGTTGCCACTGACGAAAAAAAATGTTTACCATCCACTTGAAAAAAATCTACCAAATCGGGGAAATATCTACCAATAACTTTTTTATAATTATTTTAATAAAAACTATAGTTTTGTTATTTTTTTAATTATTTTAATTAAAACTATAGTTTTTTTATATTTTTTTTTAGTTATTTCAATAATAATTAAAATTGTTTTTAAGACCTTTTTATTTAACTAGTTATACGGTATTTGAGTCATATTATTGGCATATTCTCAGTTTCTTTCAACCAAAATCGGAAGTGATGGAACTAAAGGCAACAATGAAACCTCATTATTTGAAAAACTTCAACTCCAGTTATTATAGACAAATACAGTGACTCAAAAAAGTGATTTTTTTCTAATATTCGCAATATTTTTCGAGTAACATTTTTTTATTGCTTTAACTGAATCCATGAAAATGGAGGATTCAAACAATATACAACATATAGAAAAATTCCAAAAAATTTCGTCTAAATTTCACATTTTTTACTCGGAATTTGTAGAACAATTTAAGGTATGGAGTTTCAAAGCAAATACTATTTGATTATAGCCCACAATGTGCTGCTTAAAATTCCCGTTGATTTTTTTTTTATTTTTTACCATTGATAAAAAATGGCTTTGATTAAATTTTTTTTTTTTGCGATCAATCATAGTGCGTAATTACATACCTGTTAATTTTTTCTTTATATTTAAATAATCATTTAAAATATTTAGGCAATCAAAAGCTCCTCGGGATTCCAGTAAAATTAGTTTTGAACGGAGCGCGATATGTTCGCTTTATATCGATATACATTTATAAGTATGTAATTATATAAAAAGTATACAAAGAAATTTATAATATATTTAGAGATAACTACGAAAAATAAATCGGGAACGGAAAGTTCATCAAAACTCTACCAAAATGAGAAGAAATTTGCCTTTTTACTAACCCAAATTTTTTCTACCAATTTTGGTAACAATTTACCAAAGTGGCAACCCTGGTTGTGAATATATGCGGGCATGTAGATTAAAACATCTGTTACGATAAACCTTTTTAGTTAACCCATTTCCGCCTGCCGTTGCATTAACACAACAGCACGTAAAGCATAGCACCTGGATAGTTGCCCAGCAAAAAATCGGTAATCGCTTTTAGTGGTAACGTGTTCGAGAAGGAATAGCGTTTAATGCCTTCGAATTTTTTCGCTTCTTTTAGGCATTGCCAGTAATGCAAAGTAGAATGTCCTACAATATTTTATTTATCTCGCTTCTTCGTTTCATTTCGGGGAATGCAAATTAGAATGTCCTATAATATTTATTTTTAAATTCGTTTCTTTGCTTAATTTCCGGGAATGCAAAGTAGAATGTCCTACAATATTTTATTTGTTTCGCTTCTTTGCGTCATTTCAGGTAATGCAAAGTAGAATGTCCTACAATATTTTATTCGTTTCGCTTCTTTGCTTCATTTCGGGGAATGCAAAGTAGAATGCTGCATCGTAGTCAGCTGAAAAATGGAATGAATATCCAAAAATTCTTTTTCTACCGTTACTTTCTGTGGAAATTTGTCTCGCTTAAAAAATCATGTTTAGCTTTGTTCAATTTGCAGCGAAGTTGAAGTCAGTCAATGAAGTGACGTACAAGAGTGAGGAAGTACAATTTTAAGCTTAATTAAATATGCATGTATGTACATACCGATTTTAAAGAAAATCTAAATACCTAAATACATACATATGTACGCTGATTTATAAAAATTTTAATTAATTTTAACCTTTTAAGACATTTTCTGATTTCAATTTAATATAAATAAGTATGTACTTATCTAGGCATTCTACATTAGTTCTCTGTAAGGCATTCTTTGTTCGCTTCTCTGGATTCTGTTTATCCATGCGTTCTCCCTTCGTTTGAAGGTAATGCTGCGGGTAAGGGCTTACCTCCAATGACATGCCCATGTTAAAATAAGGCCTTCTTGAAGCGAAACGGTAAGCGATTCCCATCGCCTAGCTCGTTTCCACTTTCGTTTCTGTGGTAATCGTGTTTTTTGCTGGGTGGTTGCTGTCAGCTACGCATAAGCAGTTTCTATAACTATTTAGGAGTGTCGTATCGCTGCTGCGAATAAGTTCACAGTATACCCAGCCAACCTGCAGCCATTGTTTCAAGATGGGCCAAATAGTTTCAAGATCGGAACAGACATCCAGATTATACTTGAGAGCACTTCCAAAAGCTTGCTAACAGAGATACGCCGAAGCAGAACAACACTCCTCGACCCTCCACTGAGTCAAAAGGCGGTAAAAACAATAATAATGCAACTACACAAATAACAAAATCTCTGAAGTCGACCAAATACCGGCTGAGCCAAGGCGAATCTATACAAGGTGTCAAAATTTACATGTATTTTTTTGCTTTTGGTGGGTGTGCTGTTAAAAATCGGGGCAGCTTTTCACAATGTGAGCCAGGAAGGGATATTTGGTCCCACAAAAATGTTTGCAAAGTGATTTTTTCTCTTTCTTAAATTTGAAGGCATGTGCTAAATTGCAAGAAACGCGAAAATATTTCTCCAAAAAGACTTACGTTCCAACGGCAGACAGGAGCGATAGTCAAAGTTATAAACACCTGCATCGAAATCATCGGTTAAAAGCAATTGCTACGTCTTTTCTGTCTAATGTATTTCTTATGAGTTCTAGATTCTATTACTATTTAATATGTAATCAGCATTCTAATGTATTCAAAAAGTCCCAAACATTTCATATTAAATCACATTCATTGCTCGATACTAAGTAATGCAAACTTGATTGCCCCACTTTTCTTAGGAAATCGCCGTGGGGAAAAAATGAATTTTCAAATGTGAAAAGGATAGGTTTAGTGACTATTTCTTCGATTACTATACATTACATTTTCTTACTGGGTGGTTACAGCGCCAATCAAGAAGAAGACGGGCTCGCGTATTGCATAAACAGCCTACATGTATTTGCATTAACTTATGCATTTTCCTCTTTCAAATGCGCATACGCAGTCGAACGAATGCACGAATTTTTTGGAAATTAATTCAGATCAGGGGAATTTTTCATTGACAACATTGGTAAAAATGGCCAGATGTTGTCTTTTGTACAAGTAAGCAAACAAAGCAACCGAGTTTGGAGTCCGCGGTAGCCAAGTAGTGAGAGTTGCATGTAGGCGCCAGGTTCGATCCTCGGTTGGAGCAATTGTCAAAAATTTTTTTGTTTTTATTATCTAGATTATTTTTTCACTTTTATTTTATTTGATTGATTTATTTAATTTTACTTTATTTTATTTTTGTTTGTTTTATTTTATATAATATTTTTCATTTAACTATTAGTTAATTTAAATTTTTAGAGTTTAATTGTATTAAAAAAGCAACGTTAACAAAAATTTAGAACTTATAAAAAAGAAATAAATATAAATTCTACTGACCGTGGGATACAAACCCAAATTTGCGTATAAAATTTTATTATAAGGCAGCAGAATGTCAGAAAATAAAGAGAGAAAGCTGTTTTATTACTTCACCTATTTATTGCGCCATGATACAGGGTAAGTATTTCTGTATATGACCAAATCCATTAACATTTCTGAACTTAAAAAAGAGTCAGCTAAAAATATTTCTCTCAAATCTAGATTTGGTAACTATAACCGAAAAAATAATGCGCTGAAGGAACTATACTCAGCTGTCGCAACTAAACGTTTTTCTCACTGTGATTATTCGAAATACAATTTTTCCGAAACAATTTACTTTCAGTGCGTATAATTTTTAGAGCCTTTAAGGGTTAAATCAATAAACCTTAAGCTGTCCCATGACAAAAACATTACCATTTAAGAAACAGTTGGTACAAATTTAATTTTGTCGTTGTCGTTGCAAGGAAGGAATATAAGGAAAAGGAAATAATAAAATAATAAGGAAAGAAAGAAAATGGGCTAATTAATAAAAGTTCTTTCATTTTAAAGTTTAGTTATTAAATTTCCTTGTAAGTCATTTTATTAAATTTTTTTTTATTTGCACTCATAGTCAGTCTTCCTACAGAGCAACAATGGAATTACCGGTAGCAGAAAAATAAAACTTTTGCGTAAACATATGTACATACGTTATGTGTGTTTATGTATGTACACACGTATTTGCAAGTGCAAGTTTTCGCACAATTTCGAATGCATTGAAGATGCAAAATAAGTTTGATTCCGGAGACCATGTAAAAAATAGACTGCTGCTCACAGTATTGTTATATTCTGTTTTTTTTTGTTTAGCGATATACATACATACTTATGACCAGATCATCTGCTTTTTTGAGCTGAACTATGCAAAACGTAATTAATAATACAAATTTGCTCCCCGGAAATCCAAGTCACAAAATAATCCTGTATGAAAAGTATAACTTTTCCGTCTGCAACCGTGATTTATCGATTATTTTTGGTAAATAGAGGGAAACGTCAAAGACAAAAGATATAAACTAAAGAACGTAGCTAAGCAAAAACGCGTGGTTGATGTATTTTTATTAAAAACTGTGATGAAAATCGAGCCTCGCTTCCCAGATCGTCCGTAATGCTTCATTGTTGCAAAAATTTTTTGACCCACATTCCAAAACTCGTTCTTTCTGACATCAATAATTCTAAAAACTGGATGTAGGTGAACTAATTCGAATATTTAAATCAGCTAGCATGGAGAACTCAGTTGAATCATATGAAAAAGGCTGAACTCTAGTGAAAGCTTTTATTGAAGAGCGAGCTACCCAGGATATTTGGCAAAGCTTTGAGGAAAACGCCAACGGCTCTGATTTGATTCCAGTTTTTGTGGTGATCTGTATAGCCAAAATTTGGGTATACAAGGCAGGAACCGTTCAAGAAAAAAGCCGCGATTTTTAAAGTGAATCTT